TGATTTAACATATGCAAATCGATTAATGTGATACACAACGTAAATAAAATAAAGTATAAAAATTATATGATCATATCAATAGATGCAGAAAAAGTATTACACAAGACACAGCACATTTTAATGATTAAAACACTTAATAAAATGGTTACAGAAGAAAAGTACTTCAACATAATAAAGGCCTATATGACAAAACCTCAGCTAACATCCTACTTAATAGTGAAAAACTAAAATTCTCTCCTCTAAGGTCAGGGCCAAGACAAGATTATCCTGTATCTCTTCTATTATTCAATATTGTATTGAAAGTCCTAGCTAAAGTAATCAGGCAAGAGAAAGTATTGGAAGGCATCCAAATCAGGAATGAAGAAGTCAAACTGTCACTTTTTGCAGATAACATGATTCTTTCTATAAAAAACCCTAAAGACCCACTTAAAATATATTTAAATAATAAATGGATACAGTAGTTTCAGAATACAAAATCAATTGTTCAAAAATCCATAGTATTCCTATACACTAACAATGAATTTTCAGTGAAAAAAAATCGTGTTGCAATTGTGAACAAAAAAATAAAATACCTAAAAATAAACTTAAAGAAGTATGTGAGGAAACTATACAATAAAAACTAGACATTATTACAAGAAATAAAAAAGCCAAAGAAATAGAAAAATATCCTGGGTTCATGGATTGGAAGAATCAACATAGTTAAAATGAACTATTACCTAAAACATTATACAGATTTAATTGAGTCAAAATCATAATTTCAATGGGAATTTTTTAAAGAAATAAAACAAAAAATTATCAGATTAATATGAAAGCACAAAAGATCTCCAATAATCAAAGCAATCCTGAGGGAAGGGAGAATGCCAGAGGTATCACTCTTCCTCACTATAAATTATACTACAAAGTGACAATAATAAAACAGCATTGTATTGGCAGAAAAACAGACACACAAATCAATGGAAGAGCATTGAGAGTCCAGAAATAAACCTCCACATATATACAGGCAAATAATTTTCAACAAAGGAGCCAAAAACATACAATAGAGAAAGGAAAGCTTCTTTAATCAATGATACTTGGAAAATTGGAAAACTCTATGTAAAAGAATGAAACTAGGCTGCTGTCACCATCCACCAAAATTAACTCAAAATAAATGAAGGACCTGAATATGAGACCTGATACAGTAAATGCACAAGAGAAAACATTGTTACTAAACTCATGAACCTTGTATTTAGAGAGAATTTTATAAATTTGACCTGAAAGGCAAGAGAAGTAAAAGCAAATATACATGAATGGGACTATATCACACTAAAAGTCTTCTACACAGCAAAAAAAAAAAAAAAAAAAAAAATCATCAACAAGTCAAAGAGGCAATCATCCAAATGGAGGAATAAATTTGCAAACAATGCCTCTGATAAGGGTGTAATATCCAAAATATATAAGAAACTCATACAACTTCACAATAAATAAAAGAATCTACTTTTAAAAAAAAAGGCAGAGGACCTAAAGAGACAGTTCTCTCAAGAAGATATACAAATGGCCAATAGACATATGAAAAGATGTTCAACTTTACCAGCTATTATAGAAATGCTAATCAAAAACGCAATGTGATACTACTTTCACATCTGTTAGAATGGCTATCATCAACAGGACAAGTAATAAGTGTTGGAGTGGTTGTGGGGGAAAAGGTATGCTCATATACTGTTGGTGGGAATGTAAATTGGTATAACAGTATGGAGTATCCTCAAAATGTTAAGAATGGAATTAGTATATGACCCAACAATCCTTCTTCTGGATATTTACCCACGACGCCTGAAAACATTTATCCGCAAAGTTATTTGCACCTTGATCTTCATAGCAGTATTATTCACAGTGGCCAAGATGTGGAAGTAACCAAACTGTCCTATGAAACATCTTAATTTTGCACTAATCTGGTGGTACTGCATCTAAACTTCTGTATTTCATTTCTTAATTAAATTTATTGGGGTGACATTGGTTAATAAAGTCATATAGGTTTCAAGTGTACAATTCAAAAATACATCATATGTGTGTTCATCATCCCAAGTCAAATCTTCCATCACCATGTATTTGAACCCCTTTACCCTTATCTATCTCCACCTTCCCTCTTTTTCTCTGGTAACCACTAAACTGTTGTCTGTGTCTATAAGTTTTTGTTTGTCTTGTTCTTTTGTTGCTTTCAGTTTTATATCCTGCATATGAGTAAAATCATATGGTTCTCAACTTTTTCTGTCTGACTTATTTCACTTATCATGAAATTACTCAGCCATAAGAAAAGATGAGACACTGCCATTTATGACAACATGGATGGATATTAAAATTATCTCATTGTGGTTTCGATTTGCATTTCTCTAATAGCTAGTAAAGTTGAGCATCTTTTCATATATTTTAATAGATTGTATAATATGTTCACTTAGCTAGAGTGAGACAAAAGTGGAATTTGAATGTACTTTTTATTTCCAACTTCTAATCAATTATTCTATACAAAGGATTGGATCAAAGGAAAGTTTTCATTCAAATTTGTTCTCTGAGAACTTGGTAAATATATCAAATTTGCCATGAATTTTGTCTGCTCAAATATTGCTTCATTCAAGCTTTGTAATTTTGTTAAATAGATTTTTAAAAAGCAAATAACAGGAGGATTCTGTCCACTTTACAGAGTCATACAAATTACACCTGGAGAATGAGCAATTGAGTTTCCTGCCTTCTTTCCATATGCAGTAGATGGGGATGTCTTGCCTATAGAGAAAGGATGGTATAATGAAAGTCAACCTCATATGCCAACAGAGATATACTGGAAAAGCATTGAACTTGGAGTCAGGAGCATCCAATTTCATTCTGTGTGATCTTGGACAAATTATTTCTAGGCCTAATTTGAAAAAATATATATATAAACTCCCTAATATTCATTTTTGTTTAAAAGTTTCAGTTCTAATTGTAATTTAGGAGGAAGTGAAGATATAAAGCAGAAGAGCTGTTACTGTGATAAGGTTATTGGTGCTGGGTTATATCAATGTCAATAAACATAGGTTGGTGCTTGGGACATAGAAGGAATTTACTTTTCTGTGCCCACAGTCAATCATGATCACCAAAATTCTGGACACAGGCAATCAAACAGCAACAACACATTTTATTCTTCTGGGATTTCCAACACAGCCAGGCTTTCAGCTCCTCCTCCTTTTTTTTTTTTTGGCAATCTACCTGCTGACACTGCTAGAGAACTTTCTTATCATCCTAGCCATCCACAGTGATGGACAGTTGTACAAGCCCATGTACTTCTTTTTGAGCCATCTTTCTTTCCTGGAGTTGTGGTATGTCACAGTCATCAGCCCCAAGATGCTGGTAGACTTCTTCAACCATGACAAGATCATTTCCTTTAATGGCTGCATGACTCAACTTTACTTCTTTGTGACCTTTGTCTGCACTGAGTATATTCTCCTTGCCGTCATGGCCTTTGACCGCTATGTAGCCATTTGTAATCCACTACGCTACTCAGTCATCATGACCAACCAGCTTTGTGGTACATTGGCTGGAGGATGCTGGTTCTGTGGATTCATGACTGCCATGATTAAGATGGTTTTTATAGCTCGACTTCACTACTGTGGCACACCACGTATCAATCACTACTTTTGCGATATCTCTCCACTCCTCAATGTCTCCTGTGAAGATTCTTCACAAGCTGAGCTGGTGGACTTCTTCTTGGCCCTCATGGTCATTGCTGTTCCCCTTTGTGCAGTGGTGGCATCTTATGTCATTATTATCACAACCATTATCAGGATCCCTTCTTCTCATGGCCGCCAAAAAGCTTTTTCCACCTGTGCCTCTCACCTGACAATTGTAATTCTCTTCTATTCCACAACACTTTTCACTTATGCTCACCCCAAGCTTATGTATACCTACAGTTCCAACAAAGTGGTATCTCTTCTCTACACTGTCATTGTCCCACTCCTCAACCCCATCATTTACTGTCTGAGAAACCGTGAAGTAAAGTCAGCCCTCAAGAAGACCATATTTTGTAAATAAATTGGATCCAGGGAAAATAGGGCTTTGAGTAATTAAAAAAAAATTATAGTATCTCTTCAGGCCTGAATC